CAGTACATTAACACTGCACTGAGAGAGAGGGGTTAATACAGAACAGACATACTGACTGGACACTCCAGTACATTAACACTGCACTGAGAGAGAGGGGTTAATACAGAACAGACATACTGACTGGACACTAACACATTAACCCTGAGTACAAGCTGTATCTTATTCCCTGTTTTCCCATGTTTCCCTGCAGGAGAGGAGGAAACGTCAGGAGGAGAACCAGAAGAGGCGTTTGGAGAACGAGAGGAAGGCCGAGATTGTTCAAGTGGTGAGAGGAGCTTGTCTGTCCCTCAGCCACACAACTCTTCTCCGTCTCTGAGAGGGGTGTCTGTGCGCAGAGAGGGGGTGTCTCTGTGTAGAGCTAGAGGGGGTGACTGTGTGTTAAGGGAGTGTCATTGCTCATGTACTGAAACAAAGTCAAATCTCTTTTCAGCCAGCATTGACTTTGTTCAGCATTTATATCTTTAATTATTAATTCTTTATTGTTTTTTTCGATTGTTTATTATTGTTTAAAATCTTTAATTCATTATTACCACTTTCCTTGGTTGTTATGTTGCTTTGGATAAATACATTGTACTTTTACACTGGGTGGATCTCACCTGGATTCGAACCCACAACCGCCCAGTTCCAAGTCCAGAGCCCCGACTGCTGTGCCACACTGCTGCACTAGTGTCTTGTGTCGGACTCAAACGTGCTTTGTGAATCAAGGCTTGCATGTTACGTGCAGGGTCACCCAATACTTCTGCTACCTGGAATTTCAGGAAATGTAGTTCCTTCTGTGTAATTATTTGCTGCATTGTGGCTAATTTGGACCTAGTTCAATTTTCTTGGAAAATAACACAGCTTGCTGCAGGTGCTGTTGCTGGGAATGTGGAGATTCAGGTCTATGATGGATGTACAGAGCACTACGGAAAGGAAGTCTTGACACAAAGTGAAATTGGAGAGAATTCATCTGTATGAAAAATATGATTGTGAGAAACGTGAGATTGAGGTGTTACTTCGATAAGATACTTAAGAACTCAGACGGGAGCAAAACGAGTAATTTGGCCCTGAGCGATCAGACTTTCAGTCTAGAAGAGAGATGTGATCCCTGTGTATAAAAGTCTAATGGATATGAACTGGCTCAGCCCAGGAGACTGTCCCACTCTGCACAGAAATGGACACAGGGCCACCACTGGACACTGAAAAGGAAATTATTTAGAATGGAGAAGAGGAAATAGTTCTTTTCACAAAGAGTTGTGGGGGTCTGGAACAGACGTCACAGCCAGCTGGAAACCTGAACTCTGGAAAAGAAGCTGAAGAAGTGTTAGGATCTCTTAGCTGGTAGACAACAGAACAAGCACTGTGAGCTAAATGGCTTCCTGTAATTTGTCCCCTGCGTACTCTTACTAACAAGCGCTCCTGTTGCTAAGGGACTGCCCAGTTGTACAGCGCCTCTGCGATCTCTGTCCAGCTCCCAGCCATGTGCTTGTCTGTGTCTGTGACATGAAGAAGAGCCCCAGTGGACCCTGGGGACTGATACTGCAGAGTGTGAGGCTGTCATAACCCCTTCGCCCAGCTAGGGGGTGCACAGCAACAAGTCATTAAAGGCCATTTGGCCCATCTAGCCCGTCTGGTAGTTAGTAGAAAACATCCAGTTGTTTCTCTAAAGAAACCATTGATATCGGTTTTAACCACATGGACAGGCTTGTTCATCCTTTTCTCGGTTTTAAATGTCCTTCTTCAAAGTTTTCATTTGTCTTCTCTGGTTCTGGTTGCCTGGGTTCAGTCTGTCAGTATCTTTGAGGATTTTGAATACTTGTATCAGGTCCCCTCTTAGTCTTCTCTGTTCGAGATTAAAGAGACTCAGTTCCTTCAGCCTGTCAGTGTGGGACACTCCCTTCAGACTAAAGAGACTCAGTTCC